CTTGTTTTTAGACCGTTGAGCAGCACTGAGCATTTTTCCATGGAGACGCACGCGTGTTCGGGATAGCGTGAGCGGCATGTGTTTTCTGTGGCTTGCGGGTAGGCCTATCTGTTTGCACAGCGGTGATTAGAACAGAGAGAGGGCGAGCAAGAGACTTAGGGCCAATGAGGGGTGCACGTTCAGGCACTGGAGGACAGTAACCAGAGCAAGAGTTTGTTTTCCTCGTGTTGTACTCGATAGCCTTACCGCATACACACCACAATGTCATATGCGCATGCGTGAAACTAGTCCTGAGGTGATTTTTAGTGTATGTATGAAATCAGTTCTCCTCAAGTTCTCACGAGTGTCCTTGCAGAGTAACCACAGATGTAGTTCATCACATTTACTATTCAACATGTTCCACTTACGTCCCAGATAAGTTGTAGAAACTGTCCAAATACTTTTGTTGTAACTTTGAACAGTATATTTGTTGTTTTGGAATTTCCAACTTTAAAACCATCTTGTTGTGCATTGAAAAGTATATGTTTGTGCTTTCTGATACACTGATGATTCTCCTAAAATTCCTAAATTAGAAACAAGTGAGAGAATTGTTAACATTCTGTAAGAGAATTGTGACCCTGTCTGTGAAATCCAGGCTAGTCTCAAAATCTAAATATGAGATAACAAGCATCAAAGTTTGATTTCAACATTAATTTCACTATGATTTCAATCTTTGACATGGCCTCACTCAGTCAGTATTAAAGATATCAAGGTTACATTTTAACAGAATGTTCTTTAGCTTATGAAGTATGAATTTATGTAGAAAAAAGTAAATCACAAATTCAGTTCATTTTGAAGTCTATTGAAGACTTTGGCCAATCTGAGCACATTTTGAGATGTACTGAGATCTGAAAGTCTAGACGTGACACATGCGAGATTACTAGGGTCTTTTAGAAAATCTGTAAGGCAGAAGTTTCTATTTGTTCTCCATGCCATTTCATTTCTGTCTTGGAGAAACAGTTGAGATATTAAAGAGATCTCATATGTGATATGTCTTTTCTAAGGGGAGGGACAGTGAGCCTCTTGAGCTGTGGTTGTGGGCAAGATTGAGCTGCAGGTTGTTGCATAAGAGGAGCTGATTATGTCCCACGGCTTATCTCTGGGTTTTATCCTCCCTTTCTCTCTCTGTTTTTCTCTTTTGCTCTCCCGTTATGTCCTCATGATATCCGTATGATGCCTTTAGTTAGACCTCAGTAGCATCTACTGTTATAACTGCTACAGTGACTGCCCAGGATTTTCAAGAGCTTAGTACTTTCCCATTTAATTCTTTAAAAGTATTCAATAAATAATTTTAGGCCATGAACCAAACCAAGCTGCTCTGACAGGGTTCACATCATTACTGTGACTTGAGTAAAAGTTTGAGACTGTAATTATGAAGCCATGAAGTACACATGAAGCATTGCAAATGATGTACTCAAAAAAGTCTGAAAGTATATAATTAGATTAGGTATAAAACATTTATTAAAACGTATTTTTCTAAATATAAATATCTTAAGTTTATTGCAAAATATTATTGTATATACAAATATATAAGCACTTATATGAGCAGATATACAAATATAAGTATTCACATGTATACTGTATTATTAAGATATAGTATAATATATTATAATGGCTATACTATATATTATAATATATAGTTATTATTAATTATGAGTATTATTTATCATTAGTATTATTATTTAAAACTTAATTTTATTTAATTTGTAAATTAATTTAATATAAAATTTAATAATGTAAATATGTGTGTGTATTTACACCTCTCTCTTTAAATATTTTATTTAAAATAAAATAATATTGCAGTGTTCTTATTAATAAATTAATATTATAATTATCATTATTATTTAATTATTAATGAACATTTTCAAATACTTTTATATATTTTTATTAATATTAACATTTTTAGAATTAATAAATTAAGTAAAGTAGTGTGTATCTTCATTCTGTGCAGGTGTGAACAGTCAGTTGCAGTGGTATGAATAAGATCTGTGGATGAAAAAGGGGGAGCAAAAAGGACAGAGAGCAAGCCTCAGAGATGCCACAAAGTGAGGAAGAGAGAAACAGCACAGAAAAAGTTAAATGCAGGAAGAAACTGTTTCTCTTCGCAAGTAATGTGATCTAACAACACTCTGCAGCAGTGTTGCTGTACATTATTCAAAAGGGACAGATCAGCATTGATTGACAGGCTGCTGTACATCTGTCTGCAGTCTATATAGGCGTTATCAGTCTATCATAGTGCTCTCTGGTCAAACTCTGGTCATGCTCATCACATGCAACAGACAGGATTAACTACATCAATTTATCAACTGACAGTTAGCAAAAGGTTTTAAAGTAATGTACAGGGTGTGAAATAGCAGCATTATTTGAGCCATATATGATGGCTCAATATAAGACTAGTATCATGTCATAGGCTCTCTTACTTTTAGTAATGGAGGGCCAAAATTAACATGAATTGCTATCTTGCTGTATTTGTTTGAGCATGTGAATAAGGACAACAAAAATCAAAAGCATTATTGTCATTTTAGGATTCAACTAATGCTCATTACCACCCTTTAATTTCTGCAGATACAGCAAAAATCATTTTCTTGTCTTGTTCACCAGTAAATGTACGGTCCATAGAATGACACATATTTAATTTTTAATATAATAATCACATTTTTCTTATCACAATGGCAAATCTTTTTAATTTTTTTATTTATTCATAAACCTCATTACATTTTTATTATCCTAATCTTTTAAATTTGTATCATCTTACACAAGTTTGCATCATGTAGTTCTTAAAATCTTTAGTTTTTTTGTACTGGAGAAGAAGACAAAAATATTCATTTGTTTGTGTGTTTTAAGCATAAATCTAGCTAAATTTGCAAGGTTTACACTTGAAGCAAGGGGAAAAAAAGTAGAATAAATCTCTGAAACAAGTCTTATCTTACACAAGATATGAATTTGTCTTATTTGAAGGATGTTTAGGCATTTTTCTAGAAAACTAGACAAAAATCATGGTAACACTTTATTTTAAGGTGTGCTTGTTACACGTTACATGTACTTACTATTATAATAACAATAAATTATGCATAACTGCATGCAAGTATCTCTAAGCCAAACCCTAATCCTAACCCTAACCATATAGTAAGTACATGTAGTTAATTAATATTAATCAGTACTTAAATATATAATTCCACTGTAACAAGGACACCTTAAAATAAAGTGTAACCAGTAACACTTCAGAATAGGGAACACCTATTCACTATTAACTATGACTTTTCACTCAATAAATTCCTAATTTGCTGCTTATTAATAGTTAGTAGGGAGTTGTTAAGTTTAGGTATTGAGTAGGATTAGGGATGTAGAATAAGGTCATGTAGAATAAGGCATTAATATGTGCTTAATTAGTACCAATTAATGGCTAATATTCTAGTAATATGCATGCTAATAAGCAACTAGTTAAGTGTCCCTAAAATAAAGTGTTATAATTTTAAAGAAAATGATTTTTACATTGTACATTGTGTGTGTGCTAATGACTATAACTAGACTGCCGTCTGCAGGCTGTCCTTGAGCCCATATGATGACAGCAGCTTTGAAAAAGAGCTTTCGAGTCGGCGACGGCTGGACAGGCTCACGAACTCACATACACGAGCAGCGAAGCAGCCTCGCCAACATTGTTTAGCAAAGCATGATGCTGGTTTCCTGGAGAGTGTCATCAGGGAGACTATAGCACCACACTCCATCCTTGCACATTCACACACACGCACACGCAGTGGCCTTTCCTTCCTCTGCTAAATTTAGTGACCGTTGCACCTCTGAGACTAACACACTCAAGGAGGCTGCTGTTGAATGGAATCTCATGACATCACAGGAAGAGAGGGGGTGGGGGGAGGGGCCTCGTGGCTGAATAACAGACATGTCATCACCCTGTTAGCATTTCAGATGACATCATCAGCAGTTCTGCAGTCGCAACTTTCATCTCAAAGCGACTTTTGGTTATAATTTCATCAGATGACCGCAGGTCTGATATGTTTCATTCGGTTTTGAGAGTGTGACAGGCTCGATTTACAAAAGTGCAGCAAAACTTGATGATTTCATCAGGAGTGGAAGGAATAAATCATGTTTTTCCCCTTCCAGCTGAGAGAGCAGGTTAAACTCGGGGCAAAGCGACAGAAACGCAACTCCCACAGCACAAACTGTGACTGAAATCTGGACAAACAAAGTCGTTTCTGCTGCAGAGCGCATCAGATGAGCTTGTGCCGTTCCACGTGTCCTAATTCCTGTACTCAGGAAGAGGCTAAGACCGGGAGTGCTGATCTGGCACCGGGTCCGCCGTGTCCCTGATGATCTAGATCGCTGTGAAGAGAAAAATAAAACAGGCCTCCTATTTTGAGATGCTCTATGAATGCAGCTCGATATCTCTCTCTTCGACACCTCCATCCACCTCCACATATGCACCGCGGGGCCTGTGTTCTCACTCTCTCTCTCTGTATAATAAGATTAAGCAGTGGTTTCCTGACATTGTGGATCTGGTGCCTCTCCCAGCTCCTCTCCCCCACGCCGAGCTGATGGCGAGTGGGCGTTGAATCTCGGCTAAGCGTCGGGCCCGCGTGGGGTCTGCGTGGGTCGCTCGGGGATGTGCTGCTCTGGCAGGAAATTGTTTAAAAAGGAATTATAAAACCCAAGCAGTTTCCCTGCCAACTCTCTGCCACCCTCCATGCTTAGAGACAACAAAAAGAGGCAGAGAGCAGGAAGTTAGTCAGGGGCCCGTCCCTGTAGAGGGAGATTCACAGAGGGAATCTATTACTGGGATCGTGAACTTTGACAACAGCTGATAAAGTGAAGGTGATGTTGAATGAGATGTTTTCGGAGTGCCTTCACAAAGTCCGTGAAGAATGTGCTTCTGGATGACTTTGTCTCCCTTTTGTGCTGAGATGCTCTCCTCTGATTGGTTTCTTCTCTCTGTTTCCTCTCTACAGATCGACTTGGAGCCCGAGGGCAAAGTGTACGTCATCATCGATCTGACAGGATCCTCCAGTGAAGGTGAGACACTTTGGAGTCCACAGCAAATTAACACAAGAAACAAACTGTTACGAAGACAGCAAAGACCGATATAGTGGGTTTGACGTCAATTGTTATATATTTTTTACATTCAAAAGCTTGGGGTCAGTATGATTTTTTGAAGGAAATAATGCTTTTATTTAGCAAGGATGCAATGAATTAATCAAAAGACATTTATAATGTCACAAAAGATTTCTATTTCAAATAAATGCTGTTCTTTTTCAACTTTCTATTCATCAAAAATCTTACAAAAAGTATATTGATTTTTACACAAAAATGCGAAGTAGCGTAAATGTATTCAAATTTTTTATTGAAAATAATATAACTTCTTGAGCATCAAATCAGCATATTAGAATGATTTCTGAAGGATCATGTGACACTGAAAACTGGAATAATGGCTGCTGAAAATTACATTTTAAAATATATTAAAATAGAAAACATTTCAAATTGCATTAATTTTTCATAATTTTACTGTTTTTACTGTATCAATTAAAGGCGGCCTTATGAGCATAAGAGACTCAAAAACATTTTTAAAAAATGGTAACAGGGACCAATTCTCACTATTAACTAGTAGCTTATTAGCATGCCTATAATTAACATATTTCCTGTTTATTGGTACTTATAAAGTACATATTCTGCATGACCATATTCGACATCCCTAATCTTACCCAATACCTAAACTTAAGATCTACCTTACTATCTATCAATAAGCAGCAAATTAGAAGTTTATTGAGGCAAAAGTCACAGTTAATGGTTTGTTAATTGCGAGAATTGGATATTAAAATAAAGTCTGACCAAAAACATCTCACCGATTCCAAATGGTGGTGGTGTCCATGTTTATGTAAACCAAATATTCAAACATTTTATTTATGTTAAACCAAATGTTATTTTTCATTTGCCATTTTAATCAGTCTAAATCTCTGAAAAATGATAAATAGAAAAACTATTAATAAATAATAGTCACTAAATAAAAATATCACTAAATACATTTTTATTTATTTATTTATTTAACACTGGTTTGTCTGTCCTGATGGTGGGCGTTTGATAGATTCATGAAATCCTCTTGGTTTTGTGATGCATCATTAGTGGTATCATTAGAAAGGCCTGCGTCAAGATACTTGTGAGTGAGAGGAAGTGTGTGTGTGGAAAGCAGCAGTATCCATTAGGGAAATCCCACTCGTTAACGCTTCTGTGCGCGGGGGCTGAAGCTGTTCTTTCCTGGGTCTGAGAGCCCACTCACAGACCTGAGGGCTGAGGCTGGTGCTGGGAGATACCTGTCTTCAGTTGAGGTAAACTAATGATGCAGACTCAAAGCAGCAATGCTGGAATTTGATTCAGAAATAGCTTTGTTTAATTCCCCACTCAGGTTATAACTGACTGGATGCATTAGTGGAGATGATCATGACAGATAATCTTCATTGAACAACAATTCAATTAAAATTCAGACAATAGAGACAAAATTCAGACAACTGTCTCTCTGTTTTAAAGAGACGGTTCTCCCAAAAATGAAAATTCTGTCATCATTTACCCATGCCATCCCAAAAGTATATGTCTTTTTATATTATTAAGCAGTTGCAGCTATCAAATTTCATTCTTGCACATGCATATTCCAGCTTGGCACATCTGTGCATGTTGCAAGGTTTGTCGTCAGTGACATCAAAAGCGAATGAGATGCTTACATTTAGTTAGATTTTGTCGCTTTAAGGTAAGTCATATTCATAATGCCTCTGGGCTTCTATTTCTAGTCAGAAATAAAATTTGACAGATACACATTTTTCTGCCTCTTATAGCTGCAAGATGGATGTACATTTTGAATGCTGCAACGCCTGTATCAGAAACTTTTAACTTTAAAAGTCAGGACTACATTCACCATATGGAACATTTTCCCATTTATACACTTTTAAAAAATAAAGGCTCTTTATCTGTAGTTCATCTATGGTTCCATGAAGAACCTTTAACATCATGGACCCTTTTCATTGTAAAGAAGGTTCTTTATAGTGGTAAAAGGTTCATCAGATTATTTGTCAGACCTATTATCAACTGTTCACTGAAAGGTTCTTTGGGGAACCCACAATGGTTCTTTTATGGCATCGCCGCAGAACACCCCTTTTGAAACCTTTTTTAAGAGTGTATCTGTATATGTAAGAGTGGACTGTTCTGCTTAAGCGGTCTTTTTTAAACACAAAGTTATTGTATGGTTTCAAAAAACTTCGTACAAAACATGAGTCATATGGACTATTGCTATGATGCTTTTTGTCATTTTTGGAGCTTTACTTTTATGAAGAATAGTATTAACAAAAAGTAAGTCCTGCCAATTTGGATTGACACAAGTGTGAGTAAATGATGACCCAACATTATTTTTAGGTTTCACTAACCCTATTAAAGCATGACTCCTTTTCATTTTACATATTATTGGTGTTTTGACACACTAGGCTAATTCATCAATGAGCTGTGATAATAGACCTGTAAATGTGTACGTTAACACACAAATGCAAGGGGCAACAAACAACTACACTGCGCCCACACAAAGGCACATCCACATACAGCCGCAACAGAAAATAAAACACACACATACAAGCTCTGTGTCTAAATAATAGTTGTGTTGTCTGGATGTTGCGTTAATCACAGGCCTCTTTTCAGAGGTGTCAGTAAACTGAGGATGAGCTTGGCTGGAGATCACTTAATTCTAGCGTCTCCATGCAAACAGTCAGTTAGTGCTAATGTGTGTCTTTGCTCTGGGCATAAATGAGAGCTCAGCATCCCTCCAGTTTATATCCAGCGGCCTAAGCAAAACCTTGTTGTGTATGATTGTATGTACACACAACTATTGATCTCTGGTTGATCTTTCATATTGATCCAAAGCAGTCTGCTTGTTCTGACCTGCCTGGGTTGGGTGATTTGACACGGGTATGAGAATCCAAAAAAAAACAGATCAGCTCAGTGCAGTATATTAGTAGAGACTGATAAAGTATCAATAGATGTGCACATTCTCAAGAACTCCCAGTAAGCACACTTTTAGGTCATGACTAGGTTTGGGAACTGAGAACTGGTTCTGTTTAAAAAATATATATATACCAGAAGCAAATGATTTTCATGATGTTTGCTTCCAGAAATGGTTCTCGCACTGCATAATAGACCAATCACAGCGCTTGCGGTCTGCGTAGAATTGACGCGCTGTTAGATTTTTGGAGAGGTGCACGTCAGGCTACGGCGTATGGGTGTGCGTCTATGCGTAAGCTACGGCGTAGGTCCGACGCAGAAGTATAAATCAGCCTTAACTCTCCAGAAAATGACTTTTGTGAACTGATACGTTTAGCAAATCAAAAACAAACGACCTGTGAAATCCGATCACCAAGCTAATGACTCTCATGAGCTGATTCTTTTAGTAAATCAAAAACAAACAGCTTGACTAATGAAGTTTAGTTCTTTTAGTGTATCAAAAATAGTTTTAACAATACCGTGATAACACTGATAACCGTGATAATTTTGGTCCCTATTATCGTGATAAGAAATTTTCATACCATTACATCCCTAATCAAAAACAAACAACTTGACCAGTAAAGTTCGATTGTCAAGTGTATTTTTGATTCTTTTTAGTGAATCACAAATACTTATGAATCAGTTAATTTCTCAACCAATCTGAGTCGCATAGTTTTTGTCTGACTCCATGATCCAGGAATTGTTGCTATTATGTTTTTGAGGCACTTGAGACCTAAATCAGTGTATTTTGATGTGTAGTTAAAGATACACTTTAAGAGTTACACTTTATTCAGATGAATCATTAATGTAACAGAACATTAAGGAACGGGAATAGTTAAGAGGAATCAGATTAAAAATCCCATTTAGACCAAGAATTGATAACTATATTAGTGTCCACACCAGCGCACAATAACCTTCTGTTTATTATTAGCATGCACTGCAGTTACATCGCCTGCCACTTTAAATGCTTGAAGCTCTTTAAAGGTGCTGTATGTAGGATTGACACCGAGTGGTTGAACTAGGTAATGCAGTCCAAATTCAAAATATTGGAGAGGGTTTTTTTCACCCGGTCCCTCCTCCTCAATGGTATTTTTATGCTTTAGTAGAGTCAAAAACGTACATACAGCACATTTAAAGCAGGATTGATTGGCTAATTCTCATTGGCCGTCATTGTTTTTATCGTTTCTCAGCTGGAAATTTTAAAAAAAATAATTCAGACAATAATGTTTCTCTGTGCTGTTGTAGTTGTGGTGTGGATAGTTAATGTAGTAGGGATGCATCAAAATTAAAATTCTTTGCCGAAGCCAAACAAAATTAAACACTGGGCCGAAGGCCGAATACAGAACACGGTTTTTCACATTTTCCACCCATGTATTTTTCCTTTTTCTTTTCTTTTTACCATTGCATACATTAAATAGCCAAAATGTGCTTTTTACTGTTTTGTCTTGCTTTTTAAAGAAAAAGAAAAAAAATTACAAAACAACAATTTTTTAACATTTTAGCAGACATACCAATAAAGCACAATTTAACTTAAAATGTATTAATATTAATTTGATTATATTATTATATAATAAAATATTATTATATTATTAATTATAATGAATTATATGTCTATACGTATATATATATACGTCCGCCAGACCCGGAGATTGGCTGAATGGATTAGAAAACGGTAAAACTCAACTGTTTAACTTTAGGAGAGTTGGAAAATGAGCCTATTTTCAAAAATAGTGGCGTGTTCCTTTAAATGCTTCCACATTGCCGACATGTTTGCTGCATTAGTGCGCACCTTTATTTGATTGCATCATGTCATTGTTCAGTACAATTTATAAGGTATTTTCGCTTATTTAGCTTTTTTTGTTGTTGCTATTTTCAGCCTTATAATTCTGGTTGCCGAACATTCGGTGCATCCTTAGTAATTAGTATGAATGGGACTTAACACAAATTGTTAAATTTCTTACAATTCCCATCCCGAGTCATGACCTTTGATCTTTGCTGCAATG